AGTTTAAATTTTCATTTATTTTTGCATACCTTCAAATTTAATTAAATTAAAATTTTTCGAAATCTCGTAATCATAATTTTTACTTTTCAGCGAGTTCTTAAATGATTTTTGAAAATTTCTCTATTTATAAATATATATAAAAAGTTTGAATTTCTTGATTCCAAGACTTAATATTCACATTCAAAATCTTCACAATTATATATTCTTCGAATTATATTTTCAAAAATTAATATTACTTCTCAGTTGTTTACATATTTGATTCTTTGCCAATTTCTGAGCGTTTAAAATTAATCTTTAAGAATTAAAATTCTTGTCAATAATTAATTAATATCGTAAATAACCCGTTAATCGGTAAAATTATTATCGGTATTTGTAAGATAATAATTATATACGTTAGTAAAGTAAGGACTGCCCCGCATACACACACACACATTTCCCTAACTTTACTAACGTATATAATTATTAACATTATCTTATAAATACCGACAAAAATTTAATTACCTCAAAAATATCCGGAGAATATGATCTAGCAATAAGTCGCATTATTAAAAAATCTAAAAATTTATTTAAAAAGAAAGATTTATCACCAAGAAGATTATTAAGGAGGTGATATTTGAAATTCTGAGAATTTCAAATATCAGAATTTTAGGAATTTTGTGAATTTCTAAGAATTAAAATTCTAGAAATTCGTAACATCGAATTGAAGATTAGCAACCCAAAACATCAGCAAATAAAGCGGACTTGAGTTTTGTGTAAAATTGTGCGAAATATATATAGCAAAATAAGGCGGACTTTACGTGCTTTCGTAATCGTGTGATTTCCCGCCACCGGAAGCGAGCGAGGCAAGCGCGTGACTGGGGGCTGCGCGCGCAACTTTGGCGAGACGGGAAGGGGCCAGCTGGCGCGTTTACCTGAAGGAATGCGAGCGAACCGTGCAAGATTTCGTTGGAAAACAGGCCGCATAATTTCTTTTTCGACACCGCCGGGCCCCCCCGTCGGGCGAAAGTCGCCTAACGGACCGGTCCCGCGACCGTCTACTTGGCGATGCCCCGCGCGCGTAAGTTCCTGCGGGGTGGGCGAGGGGCCGCCATGACAGTCGTCGTATTTTCTGTTAACCGCGAGAGCACGTAGATCCCGCTGGGGCGACATTCCCGTGAAGTTCTCGTGCGGCTTGGCGTCCGTGACGACCGAAAGCGATCGTCCCGCGTCCCGGCTTCGTCGGGCTGACCGTCGCGGTAGTCAAAGAGACGGTAGGCGAGGGCGCGTGGCCATTATCGGAGATTTGTTTGTGGGTGCCATTGGCGAGGTGAGACGCCGGGAGAGGCAAGCAGGCAGGCAGGCAGGCGGTCAGCAGCGCGAAACGAAGGAACGTGAGGATTTCAGGAACGAACCGAACGAGGAGGAACAAGGAGGAACGAGGCGATGAGGGCGATGAAACGGCCTATGTGGACTCCCCACTACTCTTAATCTCCGACGATTCCCCTTGCCCCTCTCCACCGCGGGCCCTGCCTCTCCCCGCGCGTTCCCTGGATCGGGACGGGCGCGCGTCTCTCCCCCGTCAGCGCGCGCGTGTGTGTGCGTGAGACTTGTGGCAGAGGAGGCGAGGAGGAGGCGGCTCCAGGCCGACGGAGAACGAGATGCGAGAACCGCCGACGGCACCGCGCACCACGTGAGTTGTAATTTATCCGTGTATATCCATTAGATAGCCGCGATACCCGGGCCGAATGG